TTGTGACTGAATTATGGTGAGCTCTGAGGGCAAATCAAGCTCTGTGATCAAGGGTCCTATCGTTTGGGTTGTGGAATTCTCATTGATTGCGCAAGATGAATTTGGGGCCCATCGAATGGCATTACGGTGTACTGGGATATTTGCACATCTTTCCAAAGCTGCCTTACCGCTTTGGTTCAGTTCTGCTGGACATGGCTTACATCGGCTCTTCGGACTTGCAGGTGACCCGCAAAGTGCGCAGGTGAGGCCCGAAAAGTGCGCAGTAGGATAGACAGTCCCCCCCCAAAGACCAAAGAAGAAGAAGACGAAGAAGAAGAAGAAGAAGAAGAAGAAGAAGAAGAAGAAGAAGAAAAAGAAGAAGAAGAAGAAGAAGAAGAAGAAGAAGAAGAAGAAGAAGAAGAAGAAGAAGAAGAAGAAGAAGAAGAAGAAGAAGAAGAAGAAGAAGAAGTAGGGGGGACAGCAACTGCCGACTTTTGGTTCCCAACAACAGAGCATGTTGGTTGGGAGCAAGTGCCCTGCTCACTCGCAGTTCTGGTTGCACGGTGCTGAGGATGTGCTACATCCCATTCAACATCCAGATGCAGCGATCAGCTCAGTGCCAGTCAGCATGGGATAAGAAAAAGAAGCGAATAGCAGCCTCACAATCATGTTATATTATGTTGACCCCTGATCAATAACCCCCTGTTATTGTAACCAGGGGGGTACTTTGTCGGCACCCGCCCACGAGTCGTTGCGTTTTTCGGCAGTTTGTCCGAGCTCACAGGGCAAGACTGTATGCAATTTCGAGCCCCCACAGTGCATATGTCTTGGAATATGTGAGCCACAATGAAAACCAGGATGGGCTCCAGGGTTCAGGAGGGCGCCAGACGCCTTTTGTTAAATGTAGACCTTGGCCGTTGACCACTGGGATATCATCCGGGCACTTTCAATTTTGGGTTCTACATGCTCATGCTGCCATCCGACACCACTCCCGCGATCCGTGCAAACACGCCTGGAATCCAATACGCTTTAAATTTGCAGATGTGTCAGGTGGGGCATTGTACCCTTTGATTGCTGCAACCCACTCATACTGTGGCGACTATTTCTGCGCCGGATGGCAATCCGACCAGGGGCGAGCCTTTCTGATCTGCCTTGAACTAGCTGCCCAAGCATCATCCAAACTCAGGTGACGCTTCTTTCTGCACCGGATAGGCTTTCGGACCTAGGTGTGGCCGTTACATTGGGCACTTCCCTGTCCCGGGTTTTCACGTCTTCCGGGGGAACCGCCCACCGTGCATGCCCCTTGCGTGGGATGGGTTTTGAGAAAGGTGATTCAATCTTCATGGGACCGTCCCGGCTTTGGGCAGGGTTTGTGCGTGTGTGTGTGTGTGTGTGTGTGTGTGCGTTTGTGCTTTTTTTAGGGTATTTGTATTGACGTTCAAGGGAAGGCAAACGGAAAGCACCCATTTTTTGGGGGGCCTGAGACATACTCTCATAGGTTTGGTGGGGCAGCTTTCAATACATTTCTCCGAACCCGCAAACTCCAACGCCGGCGTGCCGAGTTGGAACAAGCAGATGATCGAGGAGCGGTCTGGAGCAAGAGGGAGGCCGTTGCTTTAAGGTGCTGGTCCGAAGTAATATTCAAAGTAGGGACGAAGAGCAGCTAGCTCAAGCTTAGGGCTTCACTTTTGATGCGGCTTTGCAGATTCCTTACATATTTGGACAGGCAAGGTAGGATGATACATCCGACTGGTATAGATGCGGACAAAGGGTAGCACTGTTTTGGCATGACGCAGCCCAGGTTCTCGTGTGTCTGGTCTTTGGAGAGTCTGCAGCATGCTGCTGCAAACTTGAGGGAAAGCTGCTCAAGGGGGTGGATGATGGGGAACCGGAGGGTTCCTTCGGGTTCTTTGTGGTGGTGGTGGTGGCGGCAGTGGGGATGGGTGCGGGACTTGACCGGGGAACGAAGCGGCCGGAGTCCCAAACAACTCCCGCGAAGCAGCAGCAAAATGGGTGGTGTCAGCCAGAGTGGCCAGAATTTTTCCCTTTTCTTCGCCAAGTCCTGCGATTCTCATGCAAAGGACCCGCCCAGGTGTAGCATGGGGTTGCGAAGGCAAGGGGAGGGCCAAGGGACTCGGAACGGACAGGACTACAAGAAGACCCACGAGTGGTGAGCACGATTGCTTTCTTCACACGGCATGACTGCCACACTTCCGGGAGCCTGGCGTATTGTATTTAGGAGTCTTTGCAGGCACTGCTTCTTTTACAATACTTCAGCCTTCAAGAGGAATCAAAAACATGTATGACTGGACAGCCGGGCCTATCACTTGACTGCCTACATGAAAAGCCAGTGGTAAGCTGTGACTGTCGGCTCGGAATCCCAGACATTTGTTGGCTCACGTAGGAAGGCTTGGCGGTTGCGTTCTGTTTCTTTCGTCTTTCAACGCCTTGTGGAAAACAGCGTTGAGCTTGCTTCCGCGCGCGGCCCGGCGGGGGGGGTTTGTGTGTGAAGTTTCTTGTGGGTCCATTTCGACACCCAGTCCATGTAAATGATGTCCTCAGGGTCCGTTTCCCTCTTATCGTTTCAATGATCGTGAAGCATTGCGTGCCAGTGCATTCTGGGGTTCTCTACGGCTGGTTGGGTTGGACTTCTCATTCTAAAGGCACGTGTGTTCTCTTAACATTGAGATGCGTCACAGACCCTTGCCGCGCATGGATTTGTTTGGGGGCCCTGTGTTTTGAAGGCCCCACCAGGGTCGCAAAGAGGGTCATATTTCTGGAATCTTCTCACACTCTACATCTACATGTACATGTGCCAGAGAAAGTGACCTGTCAGCAGCAACGCTTCGGACTTCGCACGCCTCTTTCGGAGGTCTGCCACGTGCCCGGCCGAGGGTTTTTCACACGGCGCGCTCCGCGTGCAGCCGGCTTGGCTCAAGGGCTCGGCGAGCTCCCGGCGGTTCCTTGCCTGTGCCGCAGGATGGCCGAGCCAGAGGAGGCCTATGAGGGGCTTTGGGGCTCTCGGGAGGCTTGAAAACTTGGGGGCCCCCGATGGAGCTCTTTGGAGCTCGACTGAGCTAAACCTTGTGCTTGGTGTTGTTAGCTGCCTATCACGGAGAAGGTATCTCCATCAGATTTCTTTTTTTAGGAAATTCCGAGCATGAGGCAGCCCGTGGGGGTTTGCTTCGCGGCGGTTTCCTTTTTGACACGAACCAACACCGGGGCCGGGGTTCGGATGTGACTGATCGAGCAAGTTGGGTCAACAACTCGAGAAACTGATGCCAACCAAACGAGGGTGGGGACCCCGAGCCTTTTTGGGGACCCGCCAAACTGGTCGCATCCTCTTTCCTCCCGACAGCTGTTCAAGAACTTGCGCAGCAAGTTGGTCGGGTGATTGCTTGCATGAGATCAGCTTTCAACATGCCGTTAGGTACCATCACTTTGGGGTCAAGGCAAAAAGGAATTCTTGGGACCTGCAAAACGGTGGTTTTCCTTTTGATTACCCCGTAAACCAACCCTGAAGGGATACGCTCAAAAATGTCCAGAGACCCGCGTGCAGCCTTGTCCACCCTGTCTCAGGGAGAACTTGTGCGATTTCGAGTTCACAGGAGCCGGGAGATGCTGTCAGCCCAGGTTGGGTTCATGGGCTGACAGTTTGTTGCCTGCAAAACACACATTTGAAGAGGCACGCCCAAACTCTTTTGACAGTCTCATAGCTCTGCTTGGCTGCCGAGATAAACACCAAAGAGGACCATTGAATACAAGGACCGCTGTGACATGTCCACGGGGCCTCTTTTTGGATTCCGAAGGGAAGCTAGCAGGAAAGCTACAACTGCTAGGCGTCTATCAGCCCGCGGACAGAGAATCGGCTCGAGTTGGGTCCCTGATCTGGCTGGTTGGCCTCCGTGGACCAAATGCAGGGTCAGCAGAGTCAAGGAAAGGTTCAAGAGTGGAAAGGAGTGGCTCAATCTCCATGGGGCAAAACCAATTGCGCTTCGGCATAGGCGAAAAGGTGGGTTTCAAACTGGGCATTTCGATGCTAACGCATCGGTGCCAAGCCTTTTGGGTACAAGCCCATGACAAACTCTCAGAGGATGTTCCCCATGAAAGCTTCTTTGACCAATCCCCACATGGGGATGTCTGAAAACGGTACTGCCTTTTAAACTGCCTTTTGGTTGGATTTAAACAAAGAGTCCCAAAGGAAGACTGATAGTTTTGAAGGTTGGAGTGCACTGGTCGTTCTTCATTGTGGCATACAGGTCGGTCTCCCATCCTGGTTCAAGGTGATTTGAACCAGTTTCCAGGGAAGCCGCTCATTTTCCGAGACAAGACCGGCCCCTTTTTGTGGGACTTGGGAGGGGGCGGGGCTACTTCCTTTGCGCGCGCAGGACATTCGTCGAGAGCGTTGTGCTGGTACCATGGATCGTCAGGGCACGCTCTTGGCCGGAGATGAGAGGCTTGCTGGTGGAACTACCGGAAGAGCCACATGCGCCTCGGATCCAAGCATCTGGTGCCAGGAGTTATCATCCATGACCCCCTCCAAAAAAAACAGAATGTGTACATTGCTCCAGTTTTTTTCTGTTTCCAGGGGCGCAAAGACTGGTTGAGAGATGGCATTCGTCTTGTACCATTTGTTGAAAGATGGATTGAAATGGCTAGCTCAGTTTGAAATATTTCTCGATTTCACTGGTACCAGGACTCTTGCCTTTCACTTCGGAAAAACCACCTGCTAGTTTTTATTCTTCTCCCCTTTTGAGAAGGACACTCTTTTGCGATTGGTTTGTTGTCGCGCGTGCCTCTCCCTGCTTCCGTTTTGGGAATTCCCTCTTCTTGGAGGTATGCTTCCATTTTTTCATTCAGTTTTGGATGATTGCCCTTCCCATCCCTCGTCTATGTCTTTGTGGGTTGCCTCCTTTGTCTTTCCCTTTTTACACATTTCAGTCGTCTGCTGGTGCTACGGTGCTGAGCACATCTTTGTTGCTGCTTTTGTTGTTTGTCTGGTTCTTTATTTCTGCTCCTTG